TACTTTAGAAACAAGTTCTCTTATTGCCATTCCTTTTCAATATTTCTCTTCCTACTCTCTTTCACTTTAAAATGACTTGATCAGGGTTCAACAATTATCCCATTTGAACTTGTTTGAAATTGCTGTATACTTTTCAAATGTAGTGTCTATGTAGTGTTAAGGGATCACACTTCTGAGCTCTCAAATAAAGATATGTCTCCATTTATCTACTTTTAAGGTATTCAAAATATTTCACCTTTTAAACTTTGTTCTGTATAGTATTAAGCAGCAGTAGTTTGTGTTTTTGGTTACTTAAATAATGCATTTTCCCATTAGATTTTCTAAATACTATAAGAAGAAATATGTACATAAAAGGCATTTTGACTAGTTTATGAGTTTAATGGAACTACCTCTTCTGTTTCAACTTTAAGAATGGACAAAAGACACTGAATAGCCAAAGAAATCTTGAGAACAAAAAATGGAGCTGGAGGAATCAAGCTCCCTGATTTCAGATTATACTACAAAGCTACAGTAATCAAGAGAGTATGGTACTGGCACAAAAACAGAAAGATAGATCAATGGATCAGAATAGAAAGCCCAGAGATAAACCCACACACATATGGTCACCTTATCTTTGATAAATGAGGCAGGAATGTACAGTGGAGAAAGGACAGCCTCTTCAATAAATGGTGCTGGGAAAACTGGACAGCTACATGTAAAAGTATGAGATTAGATCACTCCCTAACACCATACACAAAAATAAGCTCAAAATGGATTAAAGACCTAAATGTAAGGTCAGACACTATAAAAGTCTTAGAGGAAAACATAAGCAGAACACTCTATGACATAAATCACAGCAAGATCCTTTTTGACCCACCTCCTAGAGAAATGGAAATAAAAACAAAAATAAACAAATGGGACCTAATGAAACTTCAAAGCTTTTGCACAGCAAAGGAAACCATAAACAAGACCAAAAGACAACCCTCAGAATGGGAGAAAATATTTGCAAATGAAGCAACTGACAAGCGATTAATCTCCAAAATTTACAAGAAGCTTATACAGCTCAATAACAAAAAAAAACCCAATCCAAAAATTGGCAAAAGAATTAAATAGACATTTCTCCAAAGAAGATATACAGATTGCCAGCAAACACATGAAAAAAAGCTCAACATCATTAATCATTAGAAGAATGCAAATCAAAATTACAATGAGATATCATCTCGCACTGGTCAGAATGGCCATCATCAAAAAATCTACAAACAATAAATGCTGGAGAGGGTGTGGGAAAAAGAACACTCTTGCACTTTTGGTGGGAATGTAAATTGATACAGCCACTATGGAAAACAGTATGGAGGTTCCTTAAAAAATTAAAAATAGAACTACCATATGACCCAGCAATCCCACTACCGGGTATATACCCTGAGAAAACCATAATTCAAAAAGAGTCATGTACCAATATGTTCATTGTTGCTCTATTTACAATAGCCTGGACATGGAAGCAACCTACATGTCCATCAACTGATGAATGGTTAAAGAAGATGTGGCACAATATACAATGTAATATTACTCATCCATAAAAAAAAACCAAAATTGAGTTATTTGTAGTGAGGTGGATGGACCTAAAATCTGTCATACAGAGTGAAGTAAGTCAGAAAGAGAAAGACAAATACCGTATGCTAACACATATATATGGAATCTAAGGGAAAAAAAAAAAAGGTCATGAAGAACCTAGGGGTAAGACGGGAATAAAGACACAGACCTACTAGAGAATGGACTTGAGGATATGGGGAGGGCCAAGGGTAAGCTGTGACAAAGCGAGAGATTGGCATGGTCATATATACACTACCAAACGTAAAATAGATAGCTAGTGGGAAGCAGCCACGTAGCACAGGGAGTTTAGCTCAGTGCTTTGTGGCCACTTAGAGGGGTGGGATAAGGAGGGTGGGAGGGAGGGAAACACAAGAGGGAAGAGATATGGGAACATATGTATATGTATAACTGATTCACTTTGTTATAAAGCAGAAACTAACACACCATTGTAAAGCAATTAGACTCCAATAAAGATGTTTAAAAAAAAAAGGAATGGGATTAAGTATCATTGTGAGCTATTTATATTGTTATGTTTGTTAACAATAACATATACCTAAAAGATTTGGAGATGTAAATCCCTTAGAATAGAAAGAAGAAAATATAAAAAATAAACACTCTCAGTAAACTATAAAATGAATGTCAATGTCTGTGTATCTAATGATGTGGTAAATTGTATTATTAAATATCTTACTTTGATTCATTCTTTTCTTCCTGGAGAAAATTAACATTTACCATTTTCTAGAATTTTACTAATATAGTACTGGATTTTTTTTTTTTAACTTGAAACGTTACAACTATGAATGGAATAAATGGAACTCATGCAAACTTTTCTTTTTGTGCTATTTTTGTTACCCACTGCTACTAGAGAATATTTGGGTCAGGAATCTCCGGTTGCTCTCCCTTACACTCTTCCAAACAACTGGTAGAAAAAAAAAGTAGACATATTACTACAGAAAATTAATATGAACTGCTAAAACATGTTCTTTTTTCTCTCTTAAGTTTCATTTTCTTCATGAGTTAGACCAAACCACAAAGACTGGATTGTTTAGAGGACGGTGTACCACAACACCTTCCATTCAGCTTAATAGAGCTGTGGCTGAACTGCAAAATAGCAATCATATGCGCCAAAAGTCCCACCAAACTCTAGGAGACACACTGGTAGAGGGTGTGCCATGATGCTCACTTTGCTGATCACAAGAGGGTGCTTGGGGTATCTTCTTTTTTTTTTTTTTTTCTCAGCAACCCAATGCAAGGTGAGGAATCCACCAGAGCAAAGGAGCACAGAGTTTTTCTTTTTTTTTTTTTTTTTCTCAGCAACCCAATGCAAGGTGAGGAATCCACCAGAGCAAAGGAGCACAGAACAACAGGCTCTCCACCTTTTATACTTCCTAGTATGGAAGCAGCATGAAGGGAGGAAATAGTAGTGCCCAATGGTTCAATTTAGAAACATACAAGGAAATTCTCCTTGCATCAGCGACACACTCCTTCCATACTTTAGCAGTGTATTAGAATGTAGTGAAGATTTTAGCACTGCAGGACATTCTACTATGGCCTACTCCACCTTTTCTTTACATGAAACTATTAGACCAGATGTGGTTTTAAAGATCTTTTCCAGATCCTGAATGGGTTTGGCCAACAGGGACAAGAGACAGTGAGTTTGTGTGTACATCTCCTGGGCTTCTCCATCTTGGGTTGCCTTGGACTGCTGTGTCTTCCCCTACAGAGGAGCCACAGCTTCTGTAAACTAGCAGCATTCCTCCATAGTTTCTGGGTCCTGGTAACTGCCCTTTCCTTTGCCAGTTCTGGCCTAGGGGCAGTAATGACATTCTGCTGGTACTAGTCCCAGCAAACCATACTATGCCTCATTGTTTCCTTATACCCTACCCATATATTTGTAAATGATATTTTTATTAAACTCTCCCCAAATGCCCAGTTGGAGTTTGCTATCTTTTCCCTGATTTGACCCTGACCTATATAGTGGATGAAGATATTGGAAAAATGCCAGCATGTCTTGGAAATGATTGATTACCTTGTCTAAAAGGATTAGGGAGGCAAGAGAAACTAGAAGGAGGCTTGGAGAATTGGAGGAGGTCAAAACCATCAAAGCATGTTTGCAGTTGGAGTGAGGGATGAGCAAAATGCAATGTGACAAGATTTTGCTCATAAAGGGCAAAACTAGGATTCAATTTCCTATAAATGGGGAATTTGTGTCCTGATTGTCTGGACAGGGGTGGCTATTTGGTTACTGTAGGAGAGGAGGTGTAACTTGGCTACATTTACTAAGAACCTTCTCTGTGAGCAGTGACGTGTTAGGCATTGCCAATAAGTTATAAATTAGACAACCAGCTATCATCTTATAAAAGTACAAGGAGGATTCTACTTTTAAATTTGTAATTAAAATTACTATGTTATTTTTAGAAACTTTGTAAAGAAAATCATATCATATTGGACACACCAAATATAATGATTTGGTCTTTCATATTATTGAGTTGCCAGCCATAAGTCACTCACTTAAAAACTTTAAAATATTGATATAATGTGTATTTCTTCTGAAGCATACATGCACACACATACACACACAAAACTAATAAATTCCTCACTGAAGGAAAAATAACTTCACTGCCACAATTACACTTGAAATGCCACAAGATAAAACTCTTTTAAAAATGAAAAAAAAATCCTCTTTTTGTAAAATACAATTTCTTAAACTTTTTTTGCACATTTCCTAACTTGATAGTAATTTACAAGGGTAAAGGAGATTAGTAATTTCTAAAATGCTTTAAGCTAAGAGCAGTTATCTAAGAAAAGTGGCTTTTCAATAATTATTTCAAGACTGAATTCAAATTCATATACAGGATATTATTTTCTGTCAGTTGCTATATGGTGTTTTTGTTAAATAAAAGACATTAATTTATATTCTGTGTCATATATACAGTGAAAGCATCATGGCTTTGCATGAAAAAAAAGGATAAACCACACCATGTAAGATGGGAAAATCCAATAGAGTTCCCTTGAATTTTTTCATCTTTTCAGTTTAAAAAGTACCAGCTCTGAAGAAAATGTTAGAAAGTGTTTGTTATATTGTGTTCAATCTGACAAAGAAGCTATTTCAAGAAATGAGAATAATAAGAGTTATTTCAAAACTTTGAAAGATCCATTGTGATGACTTGAACTAGTTGTTGCTGATTGATTGCCTGTGGTATAGCCATCTCCAACATACTCCTGCATTGATCTGGGAGCCTTTGTGGCAGTGTGTAAAGAATAACCACTTGTGACAGGTACAACAGCAAGGGCCATCTACACTGAACTGGCTGCTGCCCTGATTACAAAGGGGCTGTTTAGAACACCTGGTGACCATGACAGGCTTTTTCTTTTCTGTAGGAAAGAAACTCATTTCTAAAAGTTTACAGAATTAAAACTGAGAAACTCACCAGAAATCATCATCTGAGGAGGTGCTGGAATGGGCTCCAGGGAAGACCAGATAAGAGATCTAGTGATGGAAAGCCTTTGACTTGCTGCAGGAGATTCCTGACCACGCCCACGAGGCTGCAGCTCCCATCTGGACCATTCTGAAGAAGTTCTGACCTCTTCTTTTAAATCAGGTGCTAAGGTCAGATAATCTGTATAATATGTCCAATCTGGCATAACTACAGACATGGGGACAGAGGTCTGTACTGGAAGTGATTGAGTTGCTGAAACTATAGAAAATGCTACAGGAGAGGTTATTTCTGAAAAATCAGATGTGGAGTCTACATGTCGTGGCAGGTTGTTTTTGAGGTCACTTGAATGTATAGTTTCTGGATGACTTTGAAAGTTTAATTCAAAATTTAGAAACTGATCCCCTGTGTGAGGTTTGAACTGGGTATAAGACCCTTCATGCTCTCGCATGCCCAGTAACTTGTCTTCATTCAGCATCTCAGTGGGACCCAAAGTTGTACCATAGAGTCCTATTTTCAATAGTTTAAAAATGTTTTCTGATACTGAAGGATCATCAGCAGTCAGTTGTGAAGCCAAATCCGAATTTGTCAGGTCTGAAGGGACGGTTTGTGAAGGGAAAATGGATGAACACATCTTATCCAAACATAAATTAACATCCAAATTACCTGATAGGGTAACATATTCTTCTATGGATGAGACTAAAATTCTTCTTTCTGTACTCTTTGTAGAAGGAAATAAAGATGACAGTTCTGTGATTGCCACTGATGGCATGATTTCAGCAGCCGAAGGAAGTGAATGTCCAGAAGTGATAGTTTGTGTTCCCATTCTTGCAAACCACCTGGCTAATACTGCTGAATTCATCCAGAATGTCTCGTAAAAGTGGGACTGTTTGCTATGCAAAAATTGATCTGAAAATTCATGAAGGGATTTTATTTCAGTCATAGAACACGTTGCACATGTTTGGCTTAATTCACTTAAAGAATCAGCAGCCTGTGGTTTTATATTTGTGAGTCTCTGGTTGCTGTATGCTTCGGTAATAACCTGATCTTCACTGGGAATGGAGGCTTGTGTGGTGAATTGGTGCAGAGTTGATGAATTTAAGATGGCTACCTGCTTGGATATGATTATCTTAGAAGAAATGGGAGACATCGAAGAGCTCAGCAGTCTCCAGGACTCTCTTCTTGAAAGAGCTGAATATTCTTCAATATCCTCTTGAGAGACGACTGGAGGTGCACTCACGGAAGCAGTTGTGGGCGGGAAGCCACGGGAGAGTAATGAGTGTCTGTTTAACTCAACATCAGCCCCTGGAACACCACTAATTACTGAACTCATTGTGGTAGCAGACAAGGCAACAGTCCGGGAGCTCTCGGATAATAAAGATTGTGTAGGAAAAATAAAATCTGTCATTAAGGAAGAGATGATAAACGGGGTGCTCTGTCCCCTATCAGGGAAAAAGAGTCCTGGTGCGCCCACTGGAGTTTGGATGGGCATACATGGTACAGATGTTTTGCCCCCGACGATATGTCCTGGGTCATGAGCACCAAAATTCAGAAACTGAGAAGAGGAAACATCTGCTGAAGAAGGAAGACTGTGTTTTGCTGAAAGCTCTTTAGTGGAAATCAGTTCTTCGAGTAAATAGCTTTCAGAGGACGTGCCAATATTTAATGCTGCCAAACCAGTGGTTGGGAGAACGTCGTGCTGGAAAAAGTCTGTCTGTTTTGGACCTTCAGAGAGGAAAATGTAAGAAAGAAAGAATGAGAGAGCAAGAAAGAAAAGGAAGAAGAAAAATGGATTAAGCCCTGGGCTGAATCTTCTGCAAATTACACTGCACCTCATACACATTATATAAATGCAGACAAATGTAACTCTGTAAATCATATTTCTAATAAAAGTGTATGAGAAAGTTTAGTGACTTCACAAGCTGCATAAATGCAGAGTTCTATTATTCATACTCCCTGGGGTGGCCAAATTCAGAACAAATGGTCTTCTTTAGAATAACCTTAATTCCAAAATAATGATGCCTTTGAAGTATGAAACATGAAAATTTACAATTCTTTGACAGTGAAAAATATAAAATAATATTTGACCTAATGAGTTAGAAATATTAGTAATTTCATTTTACTTTCTGAATAGACAATTTTTTTTATATTAGATACCATTATATTCCAAATTAACTCCTTAAAAGAACAGAAATTATACAGAAAAAATATAGAGCAGTATACCTTTATGCTTATAATATCCATTAGGCTTTAAAAGTATTTTTTAAACATGGAATACCTTGTTAAAGGCTATAATTCTCATTCTACTTATCCTGAGAGACAAGAAAGAATTTGGAATTTAACATACAATATACTATTTACAATATGGCACCATTTGATTTAGTAAGTTAAATAAGACGTGTCAAAACATACTCAACCTGTCAAAATACTTCCCAATAGGAAAAGAACAGATTTTTAAAAATCTGAGTGTTTTTCCAATAAGTCAATAGGAATATAAGTTTACATATAATGATTCAGAGGATGTTAAATAAAGACATAATGAGGCAAGTAGTACAGGTCTTTTAAATAAGTTTTACTGATAGTTGAAACAAAATGAGGTAGAATTGGGGTTCAGTTATCTACCAAAATTTACGTATCAGAATAAGGACTATTCGTGAACATTTTTGCACTGTTTCAGAAAGAGTATTTATTCATAAAGGACACCAACGTTTTTAAAACTTAAAACACAGCACATAACCAATAAAAATTCTAAGCCAATTTTATAGCCCTGAAAAATCAAGTGTCTTAGAAAAATAAATATTGAAATAAGTCAGAAAATATGTTTTAAACATAACTTTTTCAAATTTCTCTGCATCATACTCTCATCTACTTACCTTGACCAACTGGAGTAGTGTTCACTATGGCCCACAGTTGGGTAGCCCTGGAAGGTGGGATGCTACTGACTGAAGACCCTGAGGTGGGCACTGTGTATGTTTGTGTGGAAGTGGCCTCTTTTCCTTGAGAGCTGGGAGGTAAACAGGTGGTTCTTCTTATTTCATTACCACAGAGAAGCCCAATGGAGCAGGTCTGCAAATGAAAATTGCCATAGTTAAGCACATAGTTTCTTTGCCCCCGAGAATTTTTAAGTTAGTTTTGAGGTCCATTTGAATTTTCATAGTTATATTAGTTAGCTCACCACCTTATTGTGTAGAAAATGGAACCTCTATAGTAAATTTACCTATATTTCAAAATTAATTAAATTCTTCAAATTTTAGATATGCTCAAACTGGATGCCTAAATTTATTCTTGATTCCTTTAAGTCAAAATACTACTTTCTATTTGCTTTGAGGATATTTTTTTCCAATGAAGAATCTGTACTGTATGGTAGAAAATATGAATATAAAAACTCTGTTACAAATTTTAAACTTTTCTTCTCTAAATGTCATATTTAGTTGGAAACGAAAATAAAACACACGATCTACAACAGATAATTTGAAGCCATTATCTTGTGATTTTCTGAATCATTTTAATCCACATTGGTTTAAAAAGCAAGGTTCTTTTTCTGTTTTAGCTTGACCTGAATGGCCTACTTCTGCCATATACTTATAAAATAATTTCCACATAAAGAAATTAATTTTTAATTCATAGGAAATAGAGTTGTGAGGCAATGTATAAATAAGTGCAAATGGATCAGGGATTCTCCTTTAAATGTAGAGTTAAAAATTAGTTATACTATTTGAAACCTTTGAATTTTAAGTAAATACCACATACCTATTTTCTAACACTAAAGACATTAATAGGTAGCTCTGCTTCACTGTTACAGTATTTGTCCAAGATTGTATCTAATTTGTACAAAATGTAAATTTTGCTTTAGTTATCCCTTTTTTGTTTGTTTCACAGTTATATATTCTGAATGCACTTTCAACTCACACATTAAAGTATTTAAAGCTTAAAGGCTAGTGTTATATAATTACCTTAAAAATCTAACGTAGAAAACAGTAAAAAGTGAAGCTAGAAGTAATAGAAGAAACATCAAGAAAAACATATCTATTATCATTCCACACATTCAAGACCAAGAGATTGTCCTTTTCTCCACTCAAGGGTAAGCAGAAAGCCCTAGAAGGACTTCACAGATTAATGACAATGCACAGGAAACTAGGATAAAAACCAGAATGTCAATATGCTAGCTTACAGTGAAAACCTAGCTGTTACACAGCTCATAAATATTTGCATGGTCATGGTCAGCTTTCCCCTCCAGAATCACAATCAGAAGCCATAATTAACTACCTTGAGAAATCATCACCGCAGGATTAAGGACCCTCAAAGTCCCCGTGATCAACAAGTTCTCTCCATGTCAGCAGAGCTACCCAAGAATCACAGGTTTCCCTGATGTGCATTAGATCAGAACATGTAAAACTAGTTTTCAAATGCTTAACAACATCAGACTAAGGTACCACCAGAAGAATGATCTTGAATACTTGATGTTAACTGATGTATCACTGATTAAAGTTATCTACCTATTAGCTTGACACTGGCACTGCTGACATTTGTCTCTATTATTCTCTATTATTGTCTATTATTTTCATATGTTCTTTTATAGTGTTGACTGTTATATTATTGATGTGTTAATACATTCATCTTCCAGTAGCCAGGAAGCCATACTCCCTCTTTCCTATGTTGCATGCCTAGGCTCACATACCTCCTGTGCTGCTTTTAGCCTTTAACTCTCAAAGCTGAATTTACTTTCCCAATTTTGAGCTTGATAGGAAACATCCTGTTATATTCCCAAGTACTAACAACTTTTAAATCATATTTTTTAATGTTCTTCCAAATAGATTTTAATTGTTTGAACTTTCCCTGTCTATACGCACAGGCACATACACATACACATATGCCAATACAATTTGTCTTAGAGAGACTTCCATATTTTCCTTAGTTAAATCCCAAACTTCATGGGAAAGCTCACTACATATTCACTAAACCTATCTCCTCTTCCTCTTGGATTACATGTCTCAGTCATTCTTGTGTCTCTGTGTGATCATGTGACTTACTTCTACCCAAGGAAGGGTGAATGTACCATGTGTGATCCTCTGGCCTCTCCCTCTGTGTGCTGACCTCTGAAAACACATATTAAAGATGGGTAACCACAGAAAGTAAGTAGCCTAAGTTCCTAAAAGTCTATTTGAAGGAGAATATCTGAAATCAGAAACACTCACTTGGACTTCATGTGAATGGAAAATAAATTTATATTGTATCAGGCTAGCAAAATTTTGGAGGTTATTGTTATAGCAGCTAGCATTTCCCTTACTAATACATCAATCTTTGCCTCACCTGGTCTTTCTGATAATATTCTTTGTTAGCTATGAGAAAATTAAATTTAAAAAGCACCTCATAAATGATTGAACATTTCTTTTTCTATATCTGCCTGATTACACTGAAAGATATAGCATTTTAAATATTTAGCTTTGTTTTAATTCAGTAAGCCTTTAATTTTGTATATTTCTTTCTTAACTTGGTGGTTACCATAGTAACTTATTTGGCCAATACATCCTCATTCACTCATTCATTCATCCATCAAATATGTATTGAGTGCCTCCCATTATATGTTTTATTCACTGATATTTATTGAAACTTACTATGTGCCAAGATGATCATTTCTACAAAATTTCATGACTTTAAAAAATACATTTTTATTTCTGAATCTATGTTTAAGGAACATAGGACTTTTTGAGTCAAAGCTTTATTGAGTCAAAGCCAAATAGGACTTTTTGAGTCAAAGCTTTATGAGAATATGGTCATCCACTTTTTAAAATTTGTATTTTATTTTATTTATTTTTGGCTGCGTTGGGTCTTCGTTGCTGAGTGCAGGCTTTCTCTAAGTCGCGGCTAGTGGGGGTTACTCTTCACTGTGGTGTGTGGGCTTCTCATTGCTGGGGCTTCTCTTGCTGCAGAGCACAGGTTCCAGGCACACAGGCTTCAGTAGCTGTGGCACATGGGCTCAGTAGTTGTGGCTCGCGACCTGTAGAGCATAGGCTCAGTAGTTGTGGCGCACAGGCTTAGTTGCTCTGCAGCATGTGGGATCTTCCCAGACCAGGGCTCAAACCTGTGTCCCCTGCATTGGCAGGAGGATTCTTAACCACTGTGCCACCAGGGAAGTCCTGGCCATCCACTTTTTAATGGATATTGTGTAGCTCGCTTGTCTTTGCTCAACAAATATTTGTTGGTCAATTTCTAAGTGTCAGTGACTGCTGTAAAGGCTGGGAATGAACTAGTCAACAAGATTAGCAAAGTTTCTCCCATCATATAGCTTGTATTTTAGTAAAGGAATTAGAATTAATTAATAGTAACTAGCAATAATTTGCTTAAAGACAAAATTTTGCGAGATAAATAATAAGGAAAAGCAGGGAGGGCTGTTTTGGACGAGTGGTTAGGGAAGTCTTCTTTGATCAGGGATCTGAATTAAGTAAATATCTGAGGAAAGAGTATTCAAGGCAGAAAGAATGGTAGTACAAAGTTCTTAAGCCAGAAACATGCTTGTGTATTTGAGCAACAGCAAGATGGGCAGTGTAGATAAAGAGAATGAGGGAAGGCCTTTGGTGGACGGAAATGAGGTCATCGACATGGCCAGGAGAGATATCGTGCCAGATGATTTGTTTGTTCTTGAATTTGGAATTAATTCTGAGTGTGATGGGCAGGCATTGGAATATTTAATATCTAGAGTAGAAAAATGATATGGTTTGACTTATGAAAAGATTATGTTAATGCTACATAGATAATAGACTCTTAAGGGAGTCTGAAGAGGGGACAGAATGGAAGCTGGGGCATCAGTTGGAAGCTGGCAGTAGCCTTGGTGAGAGACAGAAATAGATTAGTCTGGAGTGAAAGTAGTGGTAGATAGAGTAAGGGTACTTTTAGGAGATACTTGGGAGACAGAGCCTATAAGATATGTTGGTAGATTGATGTCTGGAGTGAGAAGAGAAGGTTAATAAATGATTCCTAGGTTTTTGTTCCTGTTAATGGATGTGTAGAGGTGCCACTTACTAATTTGAAGAACACTGGTGGAGACCAGTTAGGGAATGGAGGTGGATCCAGATTTCTATTTAAATACTTTAAATTTGAGAAGTTTATTAGCTATCCAAATATGGAGATAGAGTAGTAAACTGGAAATATGAGTCTTTCTTAAGGCAGAATTACCCTTAAATCATTTCTGTTAATTAAGAAAGTATGATTTAAAAGATACTATAGCCCTTCTCCCTAATTCTCTAGCCATAAAGCTATAGAATGGCAGAGTTGGGATTCATATGTAGGCAATGAGGAGCTTGAACCCACACTCACGATCATAATTTTGCCTCTTGTTACAACTTCAACATTTTTTATGAACAGTTCTACCCTATAGCTGATTATTTTAGATAAAAAATTAAAATGTTCTTCTACTCAGCCTGTTTAACAAATGCCACTATCAATTAAATTTAATGATCACCAATAATGTTTTAAGATCTGGGCAAAACAGTGTCTCTCACTGAAATGAGTTTACAACCCAGCAGATCATTTTTCATTCTACGGACAGTCACATTTGACAATGTAATATTGTACTTCATCCTTATATTCTACTTGAAATGATGAGTATGTAATACAGCAAACAACAACAAAGATCACAGTGGTCTCAATCAGTTTTGTATCAATTTAATTCTGTGGATTAATCTACTTTCATCAGAACAGGTGGGACAAATTTACTCTTTAAAATTTACTAAAATAATTGAAAGCTGAATTTGTCCAACCCCATTGAAATATACATTATTAATATGTCATTGTTTATATAGCAAATTTGTGGAGGCTAGTGAAAATAAAAATATAAAGCCCCTTGTTGAGAAATGATTAAATATTCAAGTCAACAACAGCAGAACATTGGACTGTGTGTGTGTGTGTGTGTGTGTGTGTGTGTGTGTGTGTGATGGGGGAAGGGTCTTCTAATGGCAGGGTCTCTCCAACTCACAGGTCACACAGCCATGACGGCAGCCTCCTTATACATACTAATTTTCCCAGACTAGAACATTGGATCTACCTACTTGTAGCTTGGTGCTCTCTGA